ATCCCACAGTAGTGCCCGATTAATCCCACAGTAGTGCCCGATTAATCACACAGTAGTACTCGATTAATCCCACAGTAGTACCTGATTAATCCCACTGTAATACCTGATTAATCCCACAGTAGTACTTGATAATCCCACAGTAGTACTCGATTAATCCCACTGTAGTACCTGATTAATCCCACAGTAGTACCTGATAATCCCACAGTAGTACCTGATAATCCCACAGTAGTTGCTTTGGGAGGAGGTGGCTCAGCGTGAACATCCTGATCCATGTGCAGCCACATCACCCCAACATTAACCAGGGTGCTCTCTGGGTTCTGACACCGTTCTATGAGAACAACAAGTCATTGAGCAGAGGCTCTTCTGCTGGATCATCACGCGGGCCAGCCTTCAGTACACACCAACATCCTGACACGGGTTGCTCCTTTTTGCTCTGAATATTTTGACAGTAAAAATTTTAAGTCAACTCAAGAGCAGTGAAACATTTTAAGAACATTCTCACTTGACGGCAGCATTTTTCCAGGTGGTTTTTCTTGGTCATAATGATATGGCTGGTTCGGGTGCCTGCAGCGCCCCCAGCGGTAATCTGGAGAAGAGCAGGAGTTGTGTCCGGTGAACTCTTTGATCGTTGCCATTAAACGGAATAAATCCGTCGGTCCCGCCACACTCGCAGCTGCCGCCGTCATTCATCTTTTACTGGGAATCCTCGGGGAGGCGTCCCGGTTAGCTGGGACGACTCCGCGGCATTCCGATTAGGAGAATGGGGCTGTGGGAACCCGGAAGGCCCCGCCAACATCCGACACTGAAAATGTTGTCCTGCTGTGGTGGTTTCGAACCGGCAGCCCTCAAAAACAAAGAGCGGAGCCCGAGGGTTCAGGGTAGAGCCCGAGTGCAGCGGCCCCGGTTGATGCGAACACAAACCGGTTGAAAGGAAACATGGCCCTTCATGTGAATAAACAATATAAGATGGAGAAATGTTGGAACAATCACATTCAGAGGGAGAAGAACAAAACTTACACTTTATCGAGCTAGCTAGAACTTGAGCTTCGACACAAAGCCAGGTGCGGCTTCGTGTTGTTCAGCGGTGATTAAGAACTCCGTTCCCCCGCACTCAGCCGCACACTGCCGGCCACAAACAACCACTGCGCCCCGGGGCAGCTCGGCTCCCAACACGGCGCTAGCTCCGGCTGCTTCAAGCCGTTAGCCTGCTTAGCTAGCCGGGCTAAAGCTCACCTCCAGCACCGTTAGGGGCTTTTCTGGAGCTCACAGCCACGAGGGGTGAGCTTGCTGCGGCAGAGAGGCAGCGAGCGGCCCGGAACCGTAACGACCACAGCTGCTGCTCGCAGGTAAATACAACGAGCGGCTTTCACGCGTTCAAGCACCAAGGAGATACTCACACGGTACCGGTACACCCACGGAACCGGACAGAAGTCCCCGTGCAAATCTGTCACGACACTCTCAATAAAATCTATCACAGGAAACACATTATTTTATTAGATTTTTTCCTTTAAAAATTAACATTAAAATTCAAGATGGCGGCCTGGCACCGACGAGAGCGGACCGCAGCACAGCCATCCGCGAGAAACTAGATCCGAGAAATATGCCAGCCGTTCTGTTCGTCAGCGTCGAATCGGGACACGGTCCGTTAGCATCCAGGTTAAAACTCAGCGAGGGGAGCGTTGACTGTTATTATTTTAGTTTTCAATAGTAATTAAACAGTGGGGGAAAAGTACATAGTTTTTGTCAGTCGGATGTATACAAAAGTAGTGCTGCACAAACAAACATCTTTACGCTTCCTGACGAGCCCAGAGGTGGTGGACAAGTCTGGTACTGCTGCCGCTTTAAGTGCACAAGTTCGGTCCACAAACACAACAGACCAGTGGTGGGAAGTAACTAAGTACAAGTACTCCATTACTGTTCTTAAGTACACTTTTCATCTATCTGTACTTTACTTAAGTAGAGTTAAACACGGGTAACAACAAAGTCCATGCTCAATAATCCAGGTATACAAGCCAGCCTTTTTCAGTCAGGTCATCTGGACAGTTTCTTTTTTTTTTTTTTGTGCTGAAACGTTTCGCCTTCAATCCAGAAGGCTTCATCAGTCAAGGAAACACACAACAAAACTGATTCTTCCCCCAACAGCTTACTCCAAAGTGGAACAAACCAGTTCTGCTTGTGATAAGATGGTATCTTTGGTACGCCCCCTCCTCCGTTGCCGGCCCTCTTCCTTGTTGACAGTCTTGTCAAACTCTTGTCAAACGTTTCAGCACACACAAAAAAAAATAAACTGTCTAAATGACCTGACTGAAAAATGTTGGATTAAACATGGGTACTTTTTACTTTTACTCTACTACATTTTACATTAAGTATCTGTACTTTCTACTACACTATATTTCTATAATGCGTTGTGTTACAAGTTACATAGTTACATTCACGTTCCAACTTTTTTATTTGTTCATTAATTTGAAAGTAACTGATGGCGAGAGGGGAGTTGGCTCATTGAATCACTGCAAAGTGGGCAGGTAACGTTAGGCCCGCCTTCAAGAAGAGCTGGACCAATGACATATATTCTACAAACCGTATTCCAAAAAAGTTGGGACACTAAACAAATTATGAATAAAAACTGAATGCAATGATGTGGAGATGGCAAATGTCAATATTTTATTCGTAATATAACATAGATGACAGATCAAAAGTTTAATCTGAGTAAATGTAACATTTTAAAGGAAAAATATGTTGATTCAAAATTTCACAGTGTCAACAAATCCCAAAAAAGTTGGGACAAGTAGCAATAAGTGGCTGGAAAAAGGAAATTGAGCAAATAACGAACAGCTGGAAGACCAATTAACACTAATTAGGTCAATTGACAACATGATTGGGTATAAAAAGAGCTTCTCAGAGTGTCAGTGTCTCTCAGAAGCCAAGATGGTAAGAGGATCTCCAATTCCACCATTGTTGCACAGAAAGATAGTGCAGCAATACCAGAATGGTGTTACCCAGCGTAAAATAGCAAAGACTTTTAAGTTATCATCATCAACCGTGCATAACATCATCAAAAGATTCAGAGAATCTGGAACAATCGCTGTGCGTAAGGGTCAAGGCCGTAAAACTCTACTGGATGCTCGTGATCTCAGGGCCCTTAAACGTCACTGCACCTCAAACAGGAATGCCACTGTCAAGGAAATAACAGAATGGGCTCAGGAATACTTCCAGAAAGCATTGTCAGTGAACACAATCCACCGTGCCATCTGCCGTTGCCAGCTGAAACTCTACAGTGCAAAAAGGAAGCCATTTCTAAGCAAGCTCCACAAGCTCAGACGTCTGCACTGGGCCAGGGGTCATTTAAAATGGAGTGTGGCAAAATGGAAGACTGTTCTGTGGTCAGATGAGTCACGATTTGAAGTTCTTTATGGAACACTGGGACGCCATGTCATCCGGACCAGAGAGGACAAGGATAGCCCAAGTTGTTATCAACGCTCCGTTCAGAAGTCTGCATCACTGATGGTATGGGGTTGCATGAGCGCTTGTGGCATGGGCAGTTTGTCTGGAAAGGCACCATTAATGCAGAGCACTATGTTCAGGTTCTAGAACAACATATGCTCCCATCTAGACGTCATCTCTTTCAGGGAAGACCCTGCATTTTTCAACACGATAATGCCAGACCACATTCTGCAGCAATCACAACATCATGGCTACGTAGGAGAAGGATCCGGGTACTGAAATGGCCAGCCTGCAGTCCAGATCTTTCACCTATAGAGAACATTTGGCACATCATAAAGAGGAAGGTGTGACAAAGAAGGCCCAAGACGATTGAACAGTTAGAGGCCTGTATTAGACATGAATGGGAGAGCATTCCTATTTCTAAACTTGAGAAACTGGTCTCTTCTGTCCCCAGACGTCTGTTGAGTGTTGTAAGAAGAAGGGGGGATGCCACACAGTGGTAAAAATGGACTTGTCCCAACTTTTTTGGGATTTGTTGACGCCATGAAATTTGGAAACAACAGATTTTTCCCTTAAAATGATACATTCTCTCAGTTTAAACTTTGGATCTGTGATTTGTGTTCTATTCTGAATAAAATATTAGATGTTGGCACCTCCACATCATTGCATTCAGTTTTTATTCACAATTTGTTTAGTGTCCCAACTTTTTTGGAATCTGGTTTGTAGTATACTGTATATGTCACTGAGCTGGGTGCACCCACATCACCACTAACACACCCAAAATGTATTCCACTGAGGAAAGTCAGCCAGAAGATACAGTACGTGCCACCCATGGCCTTATTGAAAGTCTATTGAAAGATTATTGAAAGTCTATTGAAAGATTATTGAAAGTCTATTGAAAGATTATTGAAAGTCTATTGAAAGATTATTCAGTACAACAGGACAGATTCTCTCTCCCAAAAGAGCCAGACTGGACTTAAAAAACTTTGAAAACCAACTTCTTCTGAACTTGAACAAGAAATTCTTGCTGCAATATTAAAATTCAACTCAACTCAACTTTATTTTGGTAAATTAGCGTTACAGAAAAAGGAAAACAATATAGACTACTTTTTGACAAATCAATAATTTACCAAAAAAGGAATAGGCTGAAGCCGAGGCTTGTACTTGCCTACCCTGTTCATAGACTCAGCAGTCTTCAATAATAAAATATATCTACTGTCCATATATATACATACATTACATATACACATATCTATATAAAAATATGTCTGTGTATATGTATAAGCATACTTACATTACATACATACATTGTTAAACACTACATATATACATCTACATAACAGTATAAGCTTTTATAATTTTACCTTTTATGGACCTTTTAAAGCTCAACAAAAAAGCACATAATTTGAGTTCATCATTCAATTCATTCCACAATTTCACACCGACAACTGAAATGCATCTAGATTTTACTTTACTTTTCTCTTTAGCTTGTTCAAATATTAATAAACCTCGTAAATTATAATTACTCTCCCTTAACTTAAATAATTTCTGAATTCCAGAAGGAAGACTTTTATTCACTGCTTTATACATTATTTCCAGTATTTTTATATTTACAATGTCATTAACTTTTAAGGTGTTACTTTGAATAAAAAGTTTATTAGTTGGTTCACAATATCCCACTTTATTAATAAGCCTAATTGCTTTTTTTGTAACTTTACTAATATGTCAATAGTTGTTTTATTAGCATTTCCCCATATTTCTGCACAGTATGACAAATAGGGCATAACCAAAGAAGAGTATATAATATGCAAGCCTTTTACATTTATTAAATCTTTTATTTTAAACAATATTCCAACAGTTTTTGAGACTTTATTTCTAATATATTCAATATGAGGCTTCCAACTAAGTTTGTTATCCAGAATGATACCTAAAAACTTTGTCTCATAAACTCTGTCGATTTCAACTCCATTTAGATGTAACTTTACATTATTGTAAATCCGATTACCAGAAAATACCATAAATTTTGTTTTTTGTCCATTTAATGATAACTTATTGTAATCAAACCACACAAAACACACAAAATGTCTCAGTTCGTGATGTTAAAGGTATAATCGTTCCTCTTTCTTATTTTAATTAATGACATTTAACTCTGCAGGTCATCCCTGAAATTCTGACGCACAGAATCACAAGTCCAGGTTGAACTGTGTCACAGAGTAAACACAATAAAAACATGTATTATCTGCAGCATCGTTCATTAAAACAACACTATTAATGTATTACAGAAAATATATATACAGTAGGTACACTTGATATGTAGACCATTGCATTATGTAATACATTCAGGAAGTACTTTTACTTTTAATACTTTAAGTATGTTTAAAAGCAAGTACTTATTTACTTTTACTTAAGTAAAAACGTTAATGTGGTACTTCTACTTTTACTAGAGTACATTTTTGTCTGTTTATTTGTACTTTTACTTAAGTACAGTGTTTGAGTACTTTCTCCACCACTGCAACAGACTGGTTCTAGCGCTAGATGACCATTTGATCATTTCCTTCAGCTTCAGTCTATGAGCTGCTTGGTCACCAGACAGAAAAGGCCCTAAATGATAGATTTGTATACTCCTCTGTCAGATTCAAACCTGGAATAGTTCCATGCATTACTGTTTGTTTTGGTCCTATTATGGAAATTAAAATGTAAATTGATGGAAATGCATATAAATATGTAACCATTTAGGTAGGCATGACGCTGTGGATGTATGG